AAACCTACTTGCCTTTAGGACATTAAAATTCAACATCTTGTAAACCATACACATCTATCTACACGTCTACTTCCACTATTTGTTGTCGAAAATAAATGAGTCTCCTATCGGGTTTTACCTCGCATTAATTGTATCCAAAGCGGTGTATTAATTTACATTTTTACGATAAACATATAATAGGCCAGTAAAGTAAACAACAATCGACAATAAACTCAGTCAGAATCACTATTCTTTATCATGTGCGTCTATTTATATAAATAGAATCCTGATAAGACAAAATTAGTCAAGAATTTTCTGGCTGTTTAGATCGACTATTTTGATTCATCTTAAAATAACAATTAGTCATTCACTATTCTGGACCATATTTAAGAAATAGCATTTGCGGGGGCGTAATAAATACGGCGTCAGCAAGTAGCGATCACAACTGGTGGAAAATACAAATGTTGTGTCTGCTGAATTTAGCACATATTGTAAAAATAATGGACTCAAGCTCAACGTAACAAAAACACATTTTATGCGTTTCTTACCAAAAAACTTAACTCCAAATTCTGACTTTTATTTACATGTGGATGGCAAATCAATAAAAAGTTATACTACAACGAAATTTTTGGGGGTAACCCTAGATCATAAACTTACATGGGAAACTCACGTAAATCATATATCAGCAAAGTTAAGTACCTACATGTAGCTATATAATCCGTAATTTAAGAGAAACTGTCTCATTTGATATATTGCGAATGATTTACTTTAGTTTAGTCCAGCCTGTACTTTAGTATGGCCTAATATTTTGGGGTTGCTCATCTCATTTTGAACGGGCATTTATAGCTCAAAAGAAAGTTTTAAGAAGTATATATGGTGTTCCATTTTCAGATAGTTGCAAGCCACTATTTAAGAAGTCTAATATTTTAACACTACCTAGCCTTTTAATTTAATTTAATTTTCCAATTAATATTGCACATTGAGGAAAACAAGCTCAAGTTTGTCAGAAATGAGTACATTCACTCACATGATACCAGGGGTAAATCAAATTTTCGACAACCTTTCTCTAGATTAGGTGTATCCCAACATGCACCTGAATATATTGGAATAAAATGTTACAATAAAATAGTCAATATATTAACTCTCAGTAAGTAATTCTTCACATAAAGGTTTTCGCCAAACTGTGTATTCGTTTTTAATGGACAACACATTCTACAGTGTTGATGGATTTTTAAATTTTTAACATTTTTGCAACAATAGTTCTAAATTTGTATTTGTAACTTGTATTTGTAACCTTTATTTCTTATTTATTTTATTGTAATAACTGTTTTATTTTAATCATGTGTACTTTTGCTATATTGTACTCTTTTGTACTAAAATTTTGACTAGTCTGATAAGATTTATACATTTTTTTTTCTTGTAAAAATTGTGTAAACTTTGTGGATGAATAAATTCTATCTATCTATCTGTCTATCTATCTATCACCGAATGGTTAAAGCTAAATTAGAGATAAAAATAATAAAAATAGAAATAAATTTAGAAAAACTTGGAATATAGAAACAGATAAACTAAAATCTAATACAGAACAATATAAAAGCAAGTTAAAACCCGCAAAAGTATTAAATCTAGATAAACTTAGCATGAAGTCATAAAAAAAGAACTATTCAATGCAAACTCAGAAGTGGCAACCGCTAACAGAAAAGATCTTCTGAGACAAAACAAAAGAGACACTAAAGAATTTAAGGAACTTAATTGAGTAAGTAATAAGAAAACAGATAAAAGAGGACAAAAAATTAAAATTAAAAATAAACAAGGACAACTAGAAAAAAGTAAATCTGATATTGCAAACTTAATTGCAATAAACCGATCTGTACTGTTCCAAAAACGATCCTCCTATATGAGGATCCTTAAAGCAGAACTTGAAAAGGCAGATAACAAATGTCAACTCAGTAGTGATGCCCCAAATAAGCTACGAACAAATAGAAAGAGCAGTAAAAGAAATAAAAAGGAATAAAGCTGCTAGAAGCGATGAAATTCTAGTACAAATGCTGAAGGAAGACAGAGAAGAAGCCATCACATATCTAAAAATAATAATGTCTATTCCAAGGCAACATACCCGAACAATGGAATACTGCTAAATCAATACTAATACACAAAAAGGGAGACACCACAGGCCTGAAAAAATATCGACCAATTTGACTTCTTTCACAACTTTACAAAACATTTACAAAGATTAACAAACAAACAGATTAACAATTAAATTTGACGGATATCAACCAGTAGAACAAGCCGGATGTAGGTACAGCACCCGTGACCATGTATATACTTTGAAAATCCTAATAGAAAAGACTAATACACTCTCCCATTATGTCTGGCTTTTATAGGTTATAAATAAGCTTTTGATAGCGAAGAACTGTGGGCAATAGAAGAAGCATTAGTCAACAACCGGATCGACTCCAGGTACAGAATATTAACACATAATATTTACGAACCAGCTAAAAGGATAGTGACGTTGGGCAATGAAATCGAAACAAGACCAGTAAAAATCAACCGAGGAGTAAGACAAGGAGACACAAAAATCTCCAAAATTATTTACAGCTGCCTAGAAGATATCTGTCAATAGACTGGGAAAATAAGGGAATCCCTATTAACGGAAGATACTTGAACCATGTTAAATACGCAAATGATGTGGTACTAATAGCCGACACGTGAAATACACTGAATACGATGATTGAGGAGCTACATACAGAATCTCTAAAAAAGGACTGAAAATGAATTTCAGCAAAACTAAACTAATGTCAAACAAATATGACAAACCTATGATAAACATCGAAGGAACAGAGATAGAACACGTAAATGAATATACATAAATGGGTCAAAATCTCAAGGTAAGCAAAGAGAATCAAACTACCGAAATAGGCAGACATGTAAAAATGAGATGGGCAGCATTCGGAAGACTCATATGTACTTAAAAATAAAAATATACATCAAAGGCTGCGAACCAAAGTGTTTAATTTCTGTATCCTACCTGTACTTACATATAGAGCTCAAACCTGGACATTCACTAAAATAAACATGGAGAAGATCAGATCAGAGAGCTATAGAACGACAGATGCTGGGTATCGCACTCAAAGACCAATGAAGACATTCATAATAGAACAAAAGTAAAAGATGCTGTCGAACAGGCAGCTAAACTGAAATGGAAATGGGCTGGACATAACGAACGTCGTAAGGATGGCCGATGGAATAAAGAACTCTGGAATTTGCGGCCATATGAAGCCAAAACCCACGAGGAAGACCGCAAATGTGCTGGGGCGACGATATTAAAAGAACTGTAGGGCCAATGTGGAAACATCTTATAAACAACAGAGATGAATGGCGAAAATTAGGAGAGGCCTATATTCGGCAATCCGAATAGAGAGAGGGCTTAAAAAAATTGCGAGGGAGTCTCTAAAGTCTTCAACAATGCTAAAGTCATTGACACTTGGAATTATAAAGACAAATGAGCAAATAACCTACCAAATCAACATGAGAATAATTTTGGATCTTATTTTCAACAATACTGAAAAATACCAAAAACTGTGAGTTTACGAGGCATTTGACAATTTGCTTCCCAATAACTTTCATCATGTTACAATTACATGTAATCTTAGTTGTAATGGTAATGTTAAACAAATAGATTACTATAGGTAGGGTGAGAATGTGTACCTCTGGACATTTCACAAAATATTACTTTTGTATTTTTTTATTAGACCATTATAATGCTAAGAAAAAATCTTTTTGTGCAACCTATTTGTCATACTTTTTAAATTATTTTCAATTTTGGACAATCTATAAATTGCACCATTTTAAATCAACATACATTTGTTAAAATACTGTTATATTGCCCAAGTGGTTGGGCAATTTGGACAGAGGTTGTGTACTTTTGGATGTATAAAAAATTAATTACAAATATGTGTTATATTTTTTTAATAATTATTAAAATGGATCAAGTTAACTAAAATATTGTTTATTACCAATATTAATAACAATAATAAAATATTGTTTAATGAGGACATGTATTAAAACATATCGTAATTGTCAAAAGATATGTTGAATTTAATATGACAGATAAACATTTTTGATTCTCCCACGCTTTGAGGCAGTGGTAATATAAGCACTATATGTAGAAAATCGACTGCATATGGTTCTACGGAAAATTTTGTTGCGTTTTCTCATAAAATTTTACAATATAACCAATATTATTATCAACCGTTTCCATCACTTTAGCTACATAATGTTTAACTAACTTTTTAGAGCAGAGTTTAACCAAAATAAAGTCTCCTACTACTATGTTACTCCAGTCGTCAGAGACGAAAATGCCACCGAACCACTAAAAATCATATGAACAAGCTGAATTTTGCCAAGAATATTAATTTTGGGATCTCAAAAAATATGCAAAAAAGTTTACCACTTTTACCTCCGGGCTTTCCACTAAAACCCCCTACGAAGGGGGGTAAAAACGCAAAAAAATCAATTTAGCAAGAATCTATACGCTGTACAAAAAAATGTTTCAAATAAAAAATGTAGCTGAGATATTAAACAAAAATGTTTATTAGAACTTTTTGTGTAGAATGAAGAGTTCTCTAAAAACAACGTTTGAAGTGACCGTCGATTTTGAATGTCAGTAGATACTGACAAAGAATGATACATTCTTTGTCAGTATCTGGAGGGATGACTCCAGATACTGACAAAGAATGTAGCGTAGAATCTTTTAAGTAATTTTAAACTGTTTCCTCGTTTTAGTGTAGTGTTTTGTACAATTTTGTCATTATTAATGTTTCTACATTCTATGCTTGCCAGATAGTTTATATTTGACGAAATGCCCCTGAAGATGCTATTTTAAGCGAAAGTACTTGGGCTAGATTTAATTAACTTGTGCTCGATAATAGCCTTATTTTTCAAAGTTTAATTAAAGAATAGACAGACTACACAAAATATAATGATACATCTACAGAAAATGAGGTTGAATGTATACAAACCTGTGATATGTGATGTGGAGAATGATTTTTCTCTCTCTTCAAATCATGAATTTCTTTTTGCAGCTGCTGTATATAATGTTCTAATTTTTTAAGTTCTGTGTCATATAAAGTTCTTGTTGAGCTGGATTCTTCAACAGTTTCTGCAATTCATACAATCAAAAGTTACCACAAATGAAAATTTCAATGTTTTAAAACACAGAGTGAAAGTACTTTCAAAGAAATCAATAGAAAATAAATGGTTTACTAGGTATTTATTGAATGCTAGAAGTAGAATATAAATATATACTGTAAAAATACTGACTGACAAATGTGAGTTTAAAGTTACAGTATTCAAAGGAAATATTCAAAGGATAAACCTCATAAATTGAAGGACAGTATATTAATAACTACCTTGAAGAATACTCTAACATATATTCCTTGAAAATGTCTGCACAGTCTCAGATTGTGTAATATAATCATATAATGTTATATACCTAGTAGAACTTTCGTCAAAACTCAAAACACACATCAATATTTAGCAAATACTTTGTAATTCTTACCATGAACTAATCTTTGTAATGTAGCAATTTCTTCTTCAGCTTTCCTCTTTTCTACTTCAAATGTTGATTCTAGTGTCATGCTATCTACAACTAGTTGACTTTTGCAATCATCTAACTCATTTTTTAACCTTGTCAATTCTTCAGTTAATTGTACATTTTCTTCTACTTTTTTATCTAATTCAGCTGGAATCAAGAGATGTCTAAGAACAAATCTATTGCATCAAATTAGATAATTAAAAGTGATAATATAATTACATTATATTGTATTAATTCACTACTTTGGGAAGGCCTACTAAAGATAAGTAAGATAATAAATAAACTTTACAACTATAATAAATATATACAGATATCTTGGACTATCTTTTAATGTTTGAAATATGTTATATTTCTACTATTTAACACTGGACAGTGAAATTTGTTATTATGTTATATGTTACAAGAATAATTTGCATATTCAAAACAATGTAACTGGTCTTTTAGCTGAAGTAGACCATTGCATCTAATGAAACAACTGGATCCAGCACCTAACACAATAACTAAATCAGACAAAAACTGTTAAAATCACATTTTAAGTTGTTCTTAATTATTATTTAAGCAGCTTCTCACCTTCTTTAAGTAAAAACAAATCTTTAAATTTCGCCCTTTGTATATCAAATTCTTCTTGAATTTTTTTCTTTTCTGATAGCAATTCCTGTATATGAGCTTGTGAATCTATAAAACATATATAGTGAATTAGTAAATTATATACTACATGCCAGTAAAATTAGAAAATTCACACCTTTTTCATTTTCAGGTACATTTTTAATTTCTGGTTGCTGATCCATTTGGAATTTTTGAAAGCTATGGAAAATGTGGTTTAATTTAACATATCTTAATGTTTACAGAGACTTAGTAATTGTGATATTTTCAAAAAAATCACCAGAATCATTATTATTTTTCTTCTAATTAGGGAATGTAAGTGGCACTATGACATTTCCTGATAACCTAACAACGTCAGATTCTTATCTGTCATTATTATTATTAAGAATAAATTCTTCTAAAATAAATGCAAATTAACCCAATTATATCTGACTCAGTATGATGATTATCAAGAATTTTTGATCATATGGTATTTAGATACTGTACATTACATTGTCAAATGTAAATCTGCCAACAATTAATGTGATCATGATGACATAATTTTTGATTCCTAAACGTCGCTAAAAATTGACTTTTTGATATCACTCCATCATGTAACCAATAAAATAAATTCCATAGAGGTCACGTGATCAATGATCAGAGGTAGAACTAGAAAAACTTTTAAGGATGAAAACTACAAAAAAATATGAGTTGATTACTTAGTCAACATTTATATTTTATTTATTCCATCCTTTTTTAGTTTACTAATTTTTTTTATTCACTAGTATTGGAGATGCATTATTAAAAAATTCTCTACTATATCTGAATTTTCATTTACTGGTCATTTACCATTTATATTTAATAAATATCTCTTAAAATGTTACCAACATGATATAAACAGGCCCATTCTATGTTAATAAAAAAGATGGTTATAGTTTATTAGAATTGTAGAAAATATACTTGATTTAAAAAATAATAATTTATTTTCTACCCTTAACATTATTTTGATAAGCCTTTTAGGTATATACGTTTTTTTTTATTAAATTTCTTCCGAACATTCATTTCGGTATTGTTTTTGATGTTTTGTTATTTCCTTTCTCCTATCTTGTGGAATTCCTTCATGGACAGTTTTGTTGGAGCAATTGTTATTTTTTCGCTTGATTAAATGATTCCCTTTTGATATTTATATTGTAGTTTGAGTAATAATTTAAATATATGCTGGTGTTTGGTTTTTACGCAAATAACCCAGGTAATTGTTCCGGTATAGCTGTTCACAATATTTTAGCAGTTGATATGGTTTCTAATCTTTTCCACAGTCTTTTCCTGCAATTTCTGATGTTTCTGCTGCTAACGTCAATTGTTACCCTACTGTAACAACTTATAAGTGCCAGGTTTCCTTTTGTTTGCTATACACATTCTTGTACATTTCTTTTGAAACGCTTTCCTAGAGATAACTTTTAGTTCTTAAAACATTATGGTTCGTTTTTTATAGAGTCCTTAAATTGATAATTTATGAGAATAAAAGTCTACCGCTACACGCCACTGCTATGGAGAAAACCGATTTGAAGTTTGACTATTGACGTTGGCATTTGACATAAGGTGATGTTGCAAATATTGGTGTTCTCTTTTTAATTCACAGGGTCAAGTGCAATTTACCTTAAACACAAAGAGAGCCTGACGAAGAAAGGAACACCCAGCGTTTAGATTTGTATGTCATCAATCATCATAAAAAAGTAAAAAATTAACAAAAGGTTCACTACCTGAATTTTGAGGTCATCACAGCTGAGATGTTCGATAAAAATTGTTGGAAAGCTACTTTCCACGTGCATTTTCATGGGAAATATAACTGCTAAGAGGAATGATCCAAGCTCGAGTTCCGTAGACGGTGTTTACAAACAGAAAGAGGATCATTTCAAGCAGGTAAGTCTTAACCTTTTGCAATGTTTATAATTTAACTGCGCCATAATACAGCTTTGTGTTATTTTTCTTCAAAGATAAACGCGCATTTCAACAACAGTTCGAGTGGTAGATCTTTTGCCAGTGTCAGCAGTCAACAATCCACCTACAGCTTCGCTAGACCTTGGTCCAGAGTTTCCAGACGAAGGTAAGTTATTTGTAAACAAATCAATGTTTATTATCGTAGTTAAAATCTAGAGGAATACTAAAAATCACCTTTGCCTTTAAACAAAGTTTTTTAAAAATACTAAAATTTCATCAGATTGTTTGTATTGATACTGTCTGGAGCAAGATCATTTAAACTTTCAATCAGCGATTACCCACGTGTCGAGCATTGAGGAAGTGACCCCGTATCTTTTTATTTATAAATAAATATGTTCTATCAATCTGCATATAAAGATAACAGTTTTAGTACAAATCTAGACAATTTGGGTTATTTCAAATGATTTTGATTCATAATCAGTAATATATTTTTTATCACAGTGTTGGAGAACATTTTAAATGCTGATTTTTGAACATTTATAAAACACAACTTTAGAATTCATTCATTACAAAGTTAGTATACTTTCTTCAATTAAATAGCTCATACATTATGGATTTTGTACTGTTTTAACAATGTGAGTTAGAAAATAAATATTTCTAACAAGTTTGATGTTTATTTACAGTAAAATATTTGCCTTAAATGATTCATAGGACAATGACTTTGTGCAAATTTGACACTTTGTTAGAACAGTTAGATCAGCTTTTTATGTTTCAGTTTCCTACAACATTATTTTGTATCTATTTAGTCCCTTTGTTTCTATTTATAATATTGACTTTATAATATTGTTGATCATTTATTCTCTGATAACACAATCTTATACTTTAGTCTGCCAAGTTTTAACCATTGTTTTGTGTTTGTTAGTCTAATTTTTTATTTTTCCTACAAAAGTTCATAAATATTCAAAACAGCTTCATTTTTCCCTGTTGTTGCTCTCCAAATAATGAAATAAACAATCAAATTGACAAACAATAACTAATAACTTAATTTTTTCCATGTTTTTTTTTTACTTTTTTTGACCTATACATTCATTTTGGTTCAGTTTTTCAGTTAAATTCTTGTATTTTTTGTCTCATTTTACCCATGGTTCATTGTGTTAATATTTGTGTATACTTCTCTAATTCTTTTTTTTTGTTTTACCTTTGAAATGTTTCTTTTGGGTAAAAGGAAAATTAATCTTGTCGTTAGCTAATTTTTTTCCATAATGTTACTTATTCTGCAAATTTCCTCAGTTTACTTTGAGCCCTTTTTTGTTTTATTCTTTTTTTTTTTGTTGATATGATTTGTTTTGGAAATATTTTTATTTGATTTTGCTTTGAAAAGTATTTGTTAATACTTTTCCAATTTTGTTACATTTTGTTTTCCCTTTAAAAGTGTTTCTCTCAAATAAAACCAGAAGTACACAATATATGAACCATACAAACAAATAAAATCTCAGATTAATGGTATAAAGTCTTGGGCTACTGTTACACCCCTTCTTTCATCCATGTGTACTGCCGCTGTAAGGTAAGGCAGTAGGTTAGTTTATTTCAATGTTAAGTAGCTAAGGGAGAAAGAAACACATCTTTGGTTATTGACAATTTAAACACAGATGGGCTTATTCAGCACCCTTGCCTCAAGAATAAAGAAACTTTGCATTTTGAGTTCCTATTTACAAAACAGTTATACTACTCGATATTATACAATACACAATCTTGACCCAGTTAAATATTAAATATGATTTGATATTATTTAATACTGTTTAATCAAGTACTTACATATAAAAAATCTTAATAATTCCTCCAAACACCTTCCACTTTTCCAACAGCTTTATTTTTCTATAACATTCAATTTTCTGCCAATTTCCCCAATTTACTCATCCCCTTTTTGTTTTTTTCATTTTACTCATTTTCCTAATTCTTGGATTCATCATTATTATTGGCTATACAACTCATAGTGGGCCTTGGTCTGTTGTAGTACCAGCTTCCATTTCTTTCTATCCTTCACCTTAGTTTTCCAATTTCATATTTGTTAACACTATTGTCATACATCTTCTACCTGGTCCTTAAATTATGCCCTGGGCCTGCTTCTTCTCCTTACTCTATACAGTGTATGGTTATAAATGTGTTTTGACAGCTCCATCTCATTCATTATCTGTAAGTGTTCTAGCCACTGCAGCCTGTTTATTTTGATGGACCTACTAATACTAGGTTCACTATAAAGACTGAAAAGCTAAAAATTATAGCACCTACGTCATAATCTGAGTTCCTGCAAGTCTTTATAACTATGTTTGAGGATTTGACATTCAAAACATTCTTTAACACTGCTTGTCATTGTCCATATTTCTGAAGCTTAAGTGAAAACAGGCTTTACAAAAGCATTAAGTAAAGGAATATCCTTGTACACTCATCCATCAAAACACTATATTCTATAAAATTACTCTTAGGTCTTCCTCCAAATCATCACAAATATGTCAGAACCTATGTGATGTTTGTTCAGTTATAAAACCTGATATTTCTTAATTCCTGTTCTGAATGAAAGACTGGATTTAGCAGTTCTTGATCTAATTTTCTAGTCTTATTTTAGACAGATAACAGTTTAATAGTTTATTTACATTCTTAAAAAGTAGATATATTGAAAAAATTGTTATTTTTAAAACTTGTTAAATCAGTTTGAAAAATCTGCAAGTGAAATGAGAATATAAAGTGAAAAAACAGCTTTTTATAACCTTCTATAAATATTTCTAAGTGCTAATTAAGTGTTTTTTGTTCAGAATATTGTAAATACATATAAAAATTAAAAACCAATGGGCCAAACTTGATAATGACCCCGGACAAGATGCTTAAATTGGTTGGTAGTAGGTGTCAATAAAAATTAAAAAAATATTTTCCCTCATCTTTTATGGCAGTTTTCTTCCTTTTTCTGTTTTTGTTTCTTTTTCTTGTTTTTTTACTTTTCTTCATTTTTTATTAATTATTGTCATTGTGTTCTCTGTACTGTTGTATGGAGTTGAGGCCTGTATAATTACAGAGGCGACAGAGTAAAGACTCATAAACTTTGAAATGTGGTGTTATCGAAGAATGTGGAAAATATCTTGGACACAACACATAAAAAATGCGGAAACACTATGAAGAATGAAAAAAGATAAAGAAATACTCAACACAATAAAAAAAAGAAAAATTAGCTACTTTTGTTACATACTAAGAAACGAGAAATACGAATTGATGCGGCTGGTCATAGAAGGGAAGGTGGAAGACAAAAGCGGATCAGGGAGAAGATGCATGTCCTGGTTGAAAAATCTGAGACAATGGAGTGGAAAAATGTCAATAGAACTTTTCAGAACAGCTGCAGATAGAGTCGAATGGGCCAAGATCACCAATGTCCTTAGGGATGGGGCATGTTAAGAAGAAAAGTTTGTTTTTACATTTCCTAAAGGGTTTATTATAGTTGAGGAAATAAATCAAACAAAGGCCTTACTACTGATTTTCCACAAAACAAGATGGATTTAAATGGCCTTTAGGTATTCTTAAAGTGTGTTCATTTCTTTGACTATTATTAGTAAATGAGGAAAGCAGAGAAAAACCACCTCATTTTATTACCCTGGTAATAGTTATGGCTGAAAACAGTTGTGAGAAAAAACTTACTAATCATGGTTCTCACTCCCAGAGACTAAAATTTGGAAGACCTCCATCTTTGGGCACTTATTGAAATCACTTTGTAATTTTTAATTCCTTAATCAAAACTGAATCTTTAGAGTTCACTTGACAATGTTTGTTTAGCTTCCTCTGTCATAAAACGTATGTGTTTAAGGTGAGGTGTAAATCTGAACTTAAATTTTCAGAACATTTTTTGAACAAATCTAAAAATCAATTCATGATTTCAGTGTGAGGAGGTTTAAACCACTTAGTCTGCTGATTTCATCCCTTTCAATTAATATATTCTGAATATTTGCATATACATTTTGAATACTAATTAACATTGTATAATTGAATAACATCTCTTCATTACATGTACATGTAAATATTGTGAGAGTTTTCTCCAATGTTAAACTTTTATTTATTTACTCAGTAAATATTGTTCTGAAGCTATTTTCTTGTGGCATTGTAAATTAATTACTATTTATAACTGGGAATAAGCCACAATTAAAGATAAAAATACGTTTATTGACGTTTCAATTTCCAATTCGGAAATCGTTCTCAAAATACAAACAGTAAATTAAACAAATTTTGTTTTTTGTTACATAGTGAAAAAATTCTTCTAATAATTTAATTTTATCTGACTCATTTATATTGACAATTCAGACATACATTATGCATTTTAAAGTAGACGACTTTAAAATGATATTGCCAATATTGTTGAGTTGCGCTCCTGGGACGACTTTACTTATAAGATAGTTCATTCGATTACATGAAATCAACTTAAACTTGAGAATATCCGTCAGAAAAAAATCATAGCATGTAATTCGTCTTTAAAAAGACAAACACATGACATGATGACAGTAAAATTCTCCTGTTAGTGATTCCATAGTAAATTATGAGGGAAAAACCAGGAAAAAAACCTCATAATACTATCCCGATATTGTAAGTATTTGTTCGTGAATTTAGTTTACCTTCAACAAACATCAAAATTCTGATTTTATATGTTACGTTATTTAAAAAACATAAATGATGTATGCTCTATATGTTACTGACTTACTAATACTGGTATTTTCTTATTAATAACTTCCTCTTTCAATATTGGTAACCAGATCCTACTACATTCTGCCGAGGAATTTGCGACACAATTGGCCTCATTTAGCATAATTAGAGCCGCTTCTTTGATTATTCTTTTTTTACCATCTGTTTCTTTTAGGACTATATTTGAATTATTCCATTGAATCCTATGTTCATTATCCCATGCGTGTTTACATATTTGGGATCTATCAAATTCTCTATTTTTAATATAAGATTGATGTTCACTTATTCTAACATTTAATGGCCTTGATGATTATTATTTGGCCTTTGTCCAAAACCAAACCTAACAATGAACAAGAAAGGACAAAGAATTGCATTTATAAAATACCTTGTGAATGCGATCAGTTTTATTTAGGTGAATCATCAAGGCCATTAAATGTTAGAATAAGTGAACAT